AAGTTAAGTCAAATGTTTTACTTACATATCTAATTTAATTTTTAAACAATTACCACAAAATGTAAAACACTTGACAAAAACAATTTTTTGTTGAGGAGTAATAACTCAAAAGTTGTAGTCAGGGGCCGGGGATTTAGCTCAGTGGTTCCAGCACCTGCCTCACAAGTGCAAGGACCTGAGCTCAATCCCCAGTACCAAAAAAAGCAGTCCTATGGGCCAGGGATATAGCTCAGCAATACACCACCAGCCAGGTCAGTGCAAGGGCCTGAGTTCAATTCCTGAGTTCGATTCCCGTTACAAAAATAAATAAATAAATAAAAGCAGCCCTAGCAGGTGTGTGTTCAAGGCTAGCCTGAACTACATAGTGACCTTGTCTCAAAAAAATGAAAAAAGGGGCCCAGGATTTAGCTCAGTGTCTCTGCCGCCTGCCTCGCAAGCGAAAGGACCAGAGTTTGATCCCCGGTACCAAAAAAAAGAAACCACACACACAAAACAAAAACGAAAAAAAACCAAAAAAGGGCCAGGGATTTAGCTCAGTGGCACCCCGCCTCCCTCACAAGCACAAGATCGTGAGTTTGATCCTGGTAACAAAACAAACAAACAACCCCCAAAAAGAAAGCAGTCCTGAGAGCATTCAGGGGCAAGCCTGTCCTGGAAATGGACAGAGAAGCCACCACAAGGATGGGAAATGGCAGACTTGGGCCTCACCTGCTACTCATAAAAAGCAGGACTGGGGCCGGGAATTTAGCTCAGTGGTTCTGGCGCCTGCCTGGAAAGCACAAATTCCTAAGTTTGATCCCTGGTACCAAAACAAAACAATAAAAAACAAGCAGAACTTGTGGTTTTCTTTTCTGTCAGGGATTTCAAAGCCTTTTTTTTTGTACCAGGGATCAAACTCAGATCTTTGCGCTTGCGAGGCAGGTGGTGGAACCCCTGAGCAAAATCCCTGGCCCTCAAAGCCACTTTTGCCATAAACTATAACTCTTTTATCTTTTAACCCATGTCTAGCCAAATACTGCCAGTTAGGACTCCTTCTAATCCTAGAAGCACCTTCACACTGATTGTTGCTATGTAACATTCTGAGAAGCTTAACAATTTACACTTTTAAGTAAAAGAATGTCCAGCCAGTGTAGTATTATGTTTGTGCCACATTTTCTGTGTTCAACTGACTGATTCTCAAGTCAAGATTGTAACTTAAACTTTAATTACATATCCTTTATACTCCTTAATTTTTTCATAACCTTTGTGAAACTGAAATTTTCTCTAAAGCCAAACTCTTAAAATGTAATTCTAAAACAAAAAACTTTAATTCTGATTGGCTAACAGGCAGAATATATGTTAACAGTTGAGAACACCTTTGTTACACCTTTCAAAACATTTTCTTAAGTCCCACAAACAAAAAGCATTTGGGTGTATTGCTTTCTTAGTTACTGAGTGCTCTTATTTTTTATTTTATTTATTTATTGAGACTTGATATTTAGTCCAGGCTGGCCTCAAACTCACTGGGATCCTCCTGCCTCAATGTGCCAGCGCACGACACCACCATGCCTGGCTGGGTGCTCTTATTTTTAAGGTATGATTTTTTTTTTTTTTGGTACCAGGGATTGAACTTGGGTCCTTGCTCTTAGGCAGCAGGCGGCGACCACTGAGCTAAATCCCTAGCCCTGGTGCTCTTATTTTTAAAACAATCTAGTATCATCCAAATGATATACAAACACAAATATACACATAGACATTACATACAATACACATGTGTGCCAACACACATAGACTTATATAAGTCTATTAACTTTATTATTTACCAGCTTTTAAAAAGTTACACAATTGGGCCAGAGATTTAGCTCAATGGTTCTGCCGCCTGCCTTCCAAGTGGAAAGTCTCAAGTTCGATCTCCGGTACCAAAAAATAAAAAAACAAAAAGTTACACAATTGACATACTTTTCCTTTTCTGCAGTCCTAATCAATATTTAATCCTAAATTTGCATTTCTGAAGGTAGGATTCCAGGTTGTGGCCAGGTGAGAAATAGATACCTCAAAGGAAATTGTCCATTTAATCTGAGTTTTAATTTCCTGAAGCTTTTTTTCTGTCTTAATTTATTGTAAGTCTTAGTCAACTTTTTTTTTTGAGACAGGGTCTACTGTGTAGTTCAGGCTGGGCTTGAACTCACTATGTAGCCCAGGCTGGCCTTGTACTACTGGCAATCCTCCTGCCTCAGCCTCCTGAGTTCTGAGATTAGAGACATCTAAATCAATTTGAAAGCTTTCTGCCCCAGGTTTTAAAACACTTTCCATTGTGCTAAAATTTAGATGTAACTGCCTGGGGCCATGCCTATAATCCCAGCAATCCCAGCATTTAAGAGGCAGAGCTGGAGCCAGGGTTTTAGCTCAGTGGTTTCACTGCCTGCCTCGAAAGCACAAAGACCCCAGTTAGATCCCTGGTAAGAGACAGAGAGAGAGAGAGAGAGAGAGAGAGAGAGAGAGAGAGAGAGAGAGGGGGGAAGCAAGCAAGCTGCACAGGATGCCAGGTTTACCTTAATCCTGTGAGGACCAATGAACTGCCCGAATGCATTCTCGTAGACAACCTTCTTCTCCCGAAGAGCTACTCGGTAG